TGGTTTTATATGAAATATTTCTTTTTATTATATATTTTTCCTTTTATATGTTTACAAAAGTTTTATACAACATCTATGTACAAAATTGATTAATTCTGCTATTATTCTTACCGTAGCTACCCATAATTTGTATGGATGTAATACATCACATATTTCCACTTTCATATTCTGCTTAATTCTTTCTGTCATACTGAGGCCATTCTGTAAGATAAGTTAAGTGTCATATTAAATCGTCTTGACTATAACATATAATCCTTAAAATAGATTTTGCATCTTACCCCTGTTAACATCTCGGACGGAAGGGCATGTGCTGTTGTGAGGAACTCATGCAGCTTGTCTACGCAATCTGGTGATCTTTCGAGTATAGAGTCAGGTGGTTCTAACTTTATACCATTTTTTAAAGACCAACCAATCTCATGGCCGGCTTCTTTTGTAAGATTAAACCAAAACTCTAATGATCTGTCATCGCCACCAAAATAACGCAATCTTAATAAGGGTCCACAAGCCATGACAATATGAGCTACCCAATATGTTTCTTGTTCAGTATTCTTTTGCACTGGTACTTCTAATGCCATGCCAATCTCTATATTATTCTGCAGTGTTAATTCAACATGAGGAAACATAATTTGTGGTACTTCCACACTCTCTGTAGCATCCAGAAAATCTTGCCAAACAAATCCATATTCTAAAATAAAAAATGTTATGTATATTCTAAAATAAAAAATGTTATGTAATGTATATATAATTAATTATAATCTGATAGTAATTCGAATTTTATCATGATATGAAACTTTACAAATCATTTAAATATACATATAGATACGCTTATACGTATATGCATATATATGTATGTGTACGCGGGCGCGTGCCCACGGGTGGGAGTGTGTGTGCTTATATGTATACATCGCATCTCATGTGTGTGTCGCGGATGCGCGTATAAGTGTATCGTGGATAACGAGCATATAAATCGTGATAACTACATTTTTTTTCAGAAACAAATATTTAATTAAAAACTCCTATTTATTATTTATATTAAAATTGCTTTGTATTTACTAATTATTTTTATCATTACATTTAATAAAATTTAAAAATATATAAGTTATGATGAATAAAAAGTTTCTTTGTCGAATTCATAATTTTATTAATTCAATAAAGAAAATTATTATATTACTGATATGCAAAACGGCCATTTTACGAATATCAATGGAAAGCAGAAACTGATGTAAAACCGTACTTGAAAATGTATAAAACGATAATATAAGGTTACATAAGATCGATTGTATCGTAACGTAAAATTATCGTAACAATTATTTGTTACGCAAGGTCGACCTGTTTATTTCTCAAAAAGTTTTTTGGTTTTAATTAATGTGCGTACATGTACGCGCCTATGTGTTATGTGCGAGCATACATTTTACACGCTCGGTAGATCTAGAAGTACATCCGTAAAGAGTGTTTAAAATAATTAATATGACAAACGCAAGCGTTAATTTTATGACTATGTATTATTTTGACCTTACATAACGAAAATCACAGATCTCATATACCTAAAAGCGCGCAGTATATAAAAGCAAAAAATCAAAACGAGATGAACGATAATTAAAAATACTCACCACCATCCTGCGGTCGATTTTCTTGCACACGATTCTCGCACGCTTCCATAATTTCTTTGTCTTAAGTTCGTGAACGAAATGTACCGCGTGTTTATCCTTGTCCTAATGAAGGGCTCTTACGTTTTGAGTGCAAAATAAAAGAGGTAAAGCAAATCGAAACTATTTCTATGATTCACCATGAAGTAAACGGTCCGCTACAATAGAGATTGCTTCTGTAATTTGTGACAACGTGCGTAGACGCTCGCGACACGAGCAGGCCAAAAACAGAACTGCTTCACTTGTATGCACAGATGTCCTCAGCAAGCAACAATGTTCACGAAACGTTCGTCGGACATCCATATAATATCCAACTTTAGGGCCGTGGCACATAGAAAAACTTAAGCAGTAAACAAATTGACCAATCACAGTCGTTGATTCTTGGACCGTAAGAAGAATCAATGACTGTGATTAGTCAATTTGCTTACTGCTAACGTTTTACTGCCTAAGTTTTTTGTGTGCCACTAGCCTTAAAGGCCAAATCATACTAGCGATTGGCGATTGATGATTGACGATTAAGGATTGGAACTTGACCAATTGGAACAAAGCAAGCCAAAGTTGAAGCTTGTTGATTTATCAAAATCTAATCTTCAATCGTTAATCGTCAATCGTCAATTGCTAGTGTGATTTGGCCTTAAAGGCCACTAGCGATTGGCGATAGATGATTGACGATTGAAGATTGAAACTTGATCAATTGGAACAAAGCAAGCCAAGGCTGAAGCTTGTTGATTCGTTAAAATCTAATCTTTAATTGTCAATCGTTAATCGCCAATTGCTAGT